CGAGTTTCCTGTCAAGGCTGTGCCAGGGGGCGCTGGCCTGCCCGCGGACCCTGCTGCCAAGCGGGAGGCCGCTCGGAGGTGCATGCGAGCAGCCGACCAGCTGTGCCCACGAGCATCTCAGCACTGACTGCGTCGAGCCTCATGGTCTCGGTTGAGACTTGTTTCGCAAAATGGCGGTGCTCGTTGCTGCATGCGACAGTGCGACGAAGCTGCCGGCCAGCATCCTCTTCGGCCACGCTCGCGACATCTGCCTCGGGTGTGATTGTGAGGTCAGGTCAAGGTCTTCCCCCGACCACCGCTGGCAGACTTGCCCTCAAAGACGGTCGACGTCCCCGCGCCCCGTCGCCTCCAGAGGGTTCGGCTAGTTGGCCCTCTGGGCTGGATCTTTGGCGAGCGCTGGTTCGCCACTGTCGACCAAGAGCACGGGCGTTAGAGCGCAAGTCAAAGGCCACTGGGCGACTGGCTCCGTCGCCGTCTTGCAGATGGCCTCTGCGCCTGGGGTCGCTCGTTCGACACCTGCCGTTCCGCCCGAGCACGGCCGCTGGCGCCCTGGCGCCAGGCGAGTCGGGGGAGGGGTGGCCACCTCCAGCCCGAGAAGTCGCGGACAAAGTTGCCGCTCTCTCTCTCTCTCTCTCTCTCTCTCTCATAATTACCATCCTTGCAGCTGCATGTCATCGCGGGCTGCCCAGGATGAGGCCAGGACCACGGGCGAGACCCCCAGCTGGGCCCCGAGGCCGACGCAGGGGCGGCGCGCGAAGCGCGGCCAGCTCTGCAGGAGCGCCAGGCCCCTTCCAAAGGGGTCCACGAAGCAACTCCCTGGGAGACGTTGCCCAAAGTCCGATTTGGCGCCGAGCGATGCCACCAAGGCGCCCAGCAGTGGCGCTGCTGCTGGAGCGGGGGATGCCGCCCCCTTGGATGCGAGTCGCTTGGTCAAGTGCTTCTCTGCGTCGACCAGTGGGGACAATGCTGGGGCCATGGAAAGATTTTCCTTCATGGGGCTGCCTCGAGACTGCGGGGGCCAGGCGGCGGCGGCGCAGGAGCATCGCGCAATGTCTGCCGAGCTGCCTCGGCGGGGGCGGGGTCTGAGGGACCTCGGCAATCACGGCGTCTTCGCGCCATGGGAGGTTGGAACATGACGGCGGAGGAATACGACCAGCGCTGGATCAGGGCTGTCCGAGGTTGCCACGACGCTGCCTAATTACGTGATCTTTGCCCGGGCGGGGTCATCGACTGCGCGGTCTGCACCAAAAACCTCACGTCGCGCACCTTGGGGCCCACGGCCGATGAACCCACGCCGCCCCCCTGCCCACGCTGCGGTCTACCTCCCCCTGCTGGCCAACGGCAGGGCGCCACTTTGGACGCCCGAAATGGGTACGGAAAGACTGGGCACAATGCCCAACAACAAATGTTGTCCCAAACCAACAGCGGCCGCTGTTGGGCAAGCGGTCTTCTGTCTCGAACGGACACAGGCCGCGGCGGCGTGTACAGCGAGTCCTACTCAAAATGAACAGGAACTGCTGCTGGGCATTGTACCCATTCTTTCCGTACCCATGTCGGGCGTCCCGATCATCGTAGCCCCCCCCCCTCCGGCCGGCCACCCCTGCCGAGAAAGAGGAAGCGCACGCGCGCACGCGGAGAGAGACACGGAGGGGGGAGGCGGACGTCTAACTTCCCATCACCCTCGCGAATCCGAGTTTGGGGCAGCGAATCCTGCTCAAAATGAGCAGGAACTGCTGCTGGGTATCGTACCCATCCTTGCCGTACCCATTTCGTCCGTGCAGAGCCGCGGCTGCGGGGGCGCGCGGAGCCTGCCGGCCTGCACTGGAGCCGGCGGACCCCGGGCGGCCAGCCGACCTCCGCGTGGCTGCGAGCGGCGCGGCCGTCGCCGCTCTCGTGGGCTGCTGGGAGGTCCAGCGGGGCGGAGGCGCACGCGGGCCCGGGCGGGACCTCAGGAGGAGGAGGAGGAAGAGGAGGAGGAGGAGGAGGAGGTTGAACAGGAGGTCCCATCGCTGCTCCCTGTCGGGGGGCCGCGCACCGCGCAGCTGTCGCCACGCTCGCGGGCTCCCGGGAGCTCCAGAGGGGTGGAGGCACGCGCAGACCCGGGCGGGACCTCGCGGCTACCTGTGGGCTGCGAGCTGCGCAGCTGTCGCCACGTTCGTTGGCTCCTGGTAGGTGCAGCGGAGTCGGGGGTCACGCGCGAGCATAACTGTCGCCACGTTGGGAGGTCCAGCGGAGTCGGGGGCCACGCGGATCCAGCCGAGACCTCGCTGCTCCCTGGGAGCCTACGAATGGCGCAACTATCGCCGCCTTGTGGGGCGCCAGGGAGGCACGGCTGAGATGAGGAAAGCGCAGATCGTACATACCTTGCGATGTGCTGTTTGGAATGAAGCGTCCATGCAAAGATTCGCCTCGCGTAGAGAAGGCGCTGGGCACGTCTCGGGTAATCGTCTAGACTGCGGTGGGCCAACGTCGAACCAACCCCGTGTGCTGATGGACCATTGCAACGGCCCCGTCACCTTGCAGAGTAGCCATCAGCGTAGCGCCTTGAAGAACCTCAAGGCTGGCTGTCACCCGCGCGCGGGGCTCCCCCCAAGCGGTGATAGCCCGCGCGGCTAGGGTTAGCCGCGCTGTAATATCCTGGCTTTCTCGTTAGTTTCGGCTGGCTGCGGAGTCCATCAGGCGTGCATTACCCTTACCATCCAGATCCTCCTCACAAATCGCCTTCAGATGTGTCCTCGCAGTCCTCCCTCCTTGGGGAACAGAATGGTACCGATACAGCTACCCCCTGGACCTCTCCTGGGGTGCGTTTTCTCTAAAATTTCGAGGCGAATCCAGCGGTGGCGACGCGGGCCCCCCAGGAGGCCCAAAAAGGGAAAAGCGAGGGAGACGTAGCGGTATGGGTACCCTTTCCTCCTCCTCCTCCTCCTCCTCCTCCTCCTCCTCCTCCTCCTCCTCCTCCTTCTCCTCCTCCTCGTCCATCTCCTCTTCCTCCTCCTCCTCCTCCTCCTCCTCCTCCTCCTCCTCCTCCTCCTCCTCCTCCTCCTCCTCCTCCTCCTCCTCCTCCTCCTCCTCCTTTTCCTCCTCCTCTTCCTCCTCCTCTTCCTCCTCCTCCTCCTCCTCCTCCTCCTCCTCCTCCTCCTCCTCCTCCTCCTCCTTCTCCTCCTCGGAACGGAACTTCGGGGCCGAGTGCCCACCCGACGACAGGCCCCTCAGTGCCGAGACAGGGCGCCGGCGGCAGAAGAGGCTCACAGAGCGCGTCCTTGAATTTCTCGTAGCACCTCGGCCGGCCGGCGGCCGCCACGAGGGGCCGGCAACGAAGAGACGGCACGGGCACCAACGTTCGGGGGAGGCTGGCGAAGATCAGCGGCGAGCGAAAGGGGGGAATGAACTCCTCCTCCTCCTCCTCCTCCCTCCTCCTCCTCCTCCTCCTCCTCCTCCTCCTCCTCCTCCTCCTCCTCCTCCTCCCTCCTCCTTTCCTCCCTCCTCCTCCTCCTCCTCCTCCTCCTCCTCCTCCCTCCTCCTCCTCCTCCTCCTCCTCCTCCTCCTCCTCCTCCTCCTCCTCCTCCTCCTCCGCCTCCTCCTCCTCCTCCTCCTCCTCTCCTCCTCCTCCTCCTCCTCCTCCTCCTCCTCCTCCTCCTCCTCCTCATCCTCAAAGCGAAGGCCTTCCCAGAAGGCGGCGAGACTTCCAGAGACCCTCCGGCCTTCCGAGAGGCTGCTACGTCTTCGGGAAAGGCTCAAAGGATTTCTCGGCAAAACGGCGGAATGCCGAGCCTTCTGGGAAGACCCGCCCCGTCCCACTTCCCCCCGGCCTCGCCGCTGAGAAAACGAAAGCGAGGAGCAGGAGTCGGTCGCAGGCCTCTGTCGTTCGCTGTGTCGTCGTTCCTCCCTCGCCCATCCAAGGTGCTCCACCGCGATCGTCCCCCAATTCTTCTTGGAGAAGGGTCGCGGTGAAAAAACGCTGTCAAGCCTGAGAGCCTCGATACGCCTCGATCCGATCCTGCCCCCCTCGGGCACACGCTACGGTCGGACCTAAGACAAAATGACATTTGTCAAGAAAATCAGAGGCAACAGCGTGGAATGGGGATTCCCCGTCGCAGTGTCCCGGCGGAGATCCGCGGGTGACGCAAGGAGGCCGCGAGGGGGGCACCCACCTCCACGCCCATATCCTGCTTAACGTCCACCACGTCATCCTCCTCCGCCCACCGCAACAAGGCGCGCCGAGGGGTGCAGTGGGAGGGGGTACGCTTCTTAGAAAGAAAGGTGATTCTTAAAAACCCTGTAAAGGCTTCTAAGCAGCCTTTGAGGGTTTCTAAGAAACACCTAGCCTTCTAAGAAGCCGGCCCCCCTCCACGACCCCCTTTCTCGGCGCGCCGCCGAGAATAGCCACGCTGGAGCCATCAAGGTTTGGGTCACAATGGGTACGGACACACACGCTTGTTTTAGCAAGCGCCCCACTCGCCCAACCCCCCAGGGGGATCGACTACCAGGAAGCTGGAACCACACGTGGCTGGATTTACATGTGGAACATGCGGAGGCCACGCGCTGGCTACGCATGCGGCCCGCGTGCCCATCCATAAAAGACCGAACGATGCAAAGACACGCGGTCACATGTGTAGGAATCCCACGCCCAGGCCGGCAATGTCATGGTATCCAGCTTCCTTGTGCAAAGCGGCTTGCACACGAGTGCGCGGCGACTCTACGCGGTGGCTCACGCACGTCTCCGACGCGGCAGACTGCATGAACAAGACGGCGCCGATGCACCTATTTCCGCGGGCAGCTTGCGCGCGGGTGAACGCGCAATCGATCCCCATCGCATCACCCCCCCCCAACTTCAAAGTAGGCGGTGCGACGGACCGCTTCTGTCAAAGCATCGTCTCCCCTTTCGGGGGCGGTTAACCCACCCATCCCGCTAACCAACCATAAAAGCCTTAAATAAACAATAGGTCTGGAGCCTTGTGGAGATCCACTTGCGTGGAAAAGGGAGGGGGCAGAAGTTGTCCGACCCCAATCATTGTGAGCTCTCTACCCTTCCTCCGTCTCCCCTCCCTCCCCCCCTACTTCCTTCTCCCTCCCGCCTCCCTCCTCCCTCCCCCCTCCTTCCCACCTCCCTCGCACCCTTCCTCCGCCCCAGATCCCGTGGAGGAGGACGGAAGGTGAGCGGTGCGGTTGCGGTTGCGCGCCCGCGGGCGGGTTGAAATGTGTCGCCCTGTTGGGGTTGCGGTTGCGCGCCCACGGGCGGGTTGAAATGTGTCGCCCAAATTGCGGTTGCACGCCCGCGGGAAGGTTGAAATGTGTCGCCCGGTCGCGGTTGCGGTTGCGCACCCGCGGGCGGGTTGAAATGTGTCGCCCAGTTGCACTTACGGTTGCGCGCCCGATGGCGGATCGAAATGTGTCGCGCAGTTGCGTTTGCGGTTGCGCGCCCGTGGGCGGGTCGAAATGTGTCGCCCAGTTGCGGTTGCGCGCCCGCGGGCGGGTTGCAATGTGTCGCCCAGGTGCCTGTGCGGTTGCGCGCCCGCGGGCGGATTGAAATGTGTCGCCCAGTAGCAGTTACGGTTGCGCGCCCGCGGGCGGGCCGGAATGTGTCGCCCAATTGCGGTTGCGGTTGCGCGCCCGCGGGCGGGTTGAAATGTGTCGCCCAGTTGCACTTACGGTTGCGCGCCCGATGGCGGATCGAAATGTGTCGCGCAGTTGCGTTTGCGGTTGCGCGCCCGTGGGCGGGTCGAAATGTGTCGCCCAGTTGCGGTTGCGCGCCCGCGGGCGGGTTGCAATGTGTCGCCCAGGTGCCTGTGCGGTTGCGCGCCCGCGGGCGGATTGAAATGTGTCGCCCAGTAGCAGTTACGGTTGCGCGCCCGCGGGCGGGTCGGAACATGTCGCCCAATTGCGGTTGCGGTTGCACGCCCGCGGGCGGGTTCAAAGGTGTCGCCCAATTGCGGTTGCGCGCCCGCGGGCGGGCTGAAATGTGTCGCCCAAGTGCGGTTTCAGTTTCGCGCCCGCGGGCGGATCGAAATGTGTCGCGTAATTGCGGTTGCGGTTGCGCGCCCGAGGGCGGGCTGAAATGTGTCGCCCAATTGCGGGCGGTTGCGCGCCAGCGGGCGGGTCGAAATGTGTCGCCCGCGGGCGGGCCGGAATGTGTCGCCCAATTGCGGTTGCGGTTGCGCGCCCGCGGGCAGGTCGAAATGTGACGCCCAGTTGCGGTTGCGGTTGCGCGCCCGCTGGCGGGCTGAAATATGTCACCCAGTTGCGCTTGCGCGCCCGCGGCCGGATTGAAATGTGTCGCCCACTTGCGGTTGCGGCTGCGCCCGCGGACGGGTCGAATAGTGTCGCCCAGCTGCGGTTGCGGTTGCGCACCCGCGGGCGGGCCGGAATGTGTCGCCCAGTTGCGGTTGCGCGCCCGCGGGCGGGCTGAAATGTGTCGCCCAGTAGCGGTTGCGGTTGCGCGCCCGCGGGCGGGTCGAAATGTGTCGCCAGTTGCAGTTGCGCGCCCGCGGGCGGGTTGAAATGTGTCGCCCAATTGCGGTCGCGCGCCCGCGGGCGGGTTGAAATGTGTCGCCGATGTACGGTTGCGGTTGCGCGCCCGCGGGCGGGTTGAAATGTGTCGCCCAGTTGCGGTTGCGGTTGCGCGCCCGCGGGCGGTTCGAAATGTGTGGCCCAGTTGCGGTTGCGCGCCCGCGGGCGGGTTGAAATGTGTCGCCCCGTTGCGGTTGCGCGCCCGCGGGCGGGTTGAAATGTGTCGCCCAGGTACGGTTGCGGTTGCGCGCCCGCGGGCAGGTTGAAATGTGTCGCCCAAGTTCGGTTGCGTTTGCGCGCCAGCGGACGGTTCGAAATGTGTCGCCTTTTGCGGTTGCGCGCCCGCGGGTGGTTTGAAATGTGTTGTTCAAGGAGCCCTCCTGACGTTCAGTCAGTCAATCAGTCAGTCAGTCACTGGCGGGCACGGAATTTCACCCGGCTCCGCCGGGAATGAGACCCTCCGCTGGCCCAAACTGAAGAATATTCCAGGGCACCCTCCACCCGGATGCACAAGAACATCCAAGAAGCACGAAGAATAGTGGGGCACCCTTCCCCAAACCGACCACGATCGTATACCTCGGCCAAACCCTCACACAGATCAGTGATCCGCGCTGATCCACGCTGATCCACGCGCTCAGACCCGTGTTTGCGTCTCCTAGATCCCCGGCCTGATAAGCAACAGAAGTACCCGTAGTCCTCTGAGAGGGGACCTACGTCAGCGGGGCCAGAAACATCATTAGGGATACGGGGATCGGTCGTTTTGTTTGCAGATGTTTCGGACTAGACCAGCCACAGGTGTTAAGGAATAACCCTAATACCCGAGGACCAAATTTAGGCCACGAATGTATTGTGTTCTTAGGGTTAAGAGTTGTATTATGCTGAATGACGACTTCCTCGCGCGCGCGATCGCGCAGAGCGCTGGGGCTGCGCGCAGGCGTGCCACCCTCTCGGCCTGGGGAGGCCGTCGGAACGGCGGGGGGCGCACGCACGCGCGCTCGGCCATCCTCCCTACCTGGTCCCTGCCACCCCCTCACCCCTTCTCCAACGCCTGCCTTCTCCTCCTCGTCCTCGTTCTCCGCCTCGTCCTCATCCTCGTCGTAGCTATCTCGTCCTCCTCCTCCTCCTCCTCCTCCTCCTCGTCCTCGACGTCGTCTTCGCCCTCGTCCACACCCGTTTGCCCCCTCCTCCCACGCATGCTGCTGCCGAGTCCTCGTCCTCTTGTCTTCGTTCTCCTCGTCCTCGTCCCAGTCTCGCCTCGCCCTCGTCCACCTCCGCCTCGTCCTTCATCCGCCTCCTCGTCCTTGTCCTCCCCGCCTGCACCCTCCTTCGCCCTCTTCCTGCCGCCTCGCCCCAGCTCCTGCTCCTCCCCACTCCCTCCTCCTCCTCTTCCTCCTCCTCCTCAACCATCTCCAGACGCCGACGCTGCTGGCATTAGACTCCATCTGGGATGCTGCCATCACCCCGCCCCAAGCCCACTCGCCCCTGCGGGGGATGCTCAAACTAAGGCAGATGTGAGGCAACAGAGAGTGAGCGAACCTCCACGGGGCGGGGCGCCCCTGCGTCCCCTGGACCGGCGCCTCCTCCCGAGTCGTTTTTTTGCTGCGGCCCTGGAGCCCAGCGAGGGCCCCCCAAGAGGCCGAACATGGCAGACGCTGCCCGCCTCGATGTCTCCTCCACGCGAGCGGGGTCTGGGCCTGCGTGCTGCGTGCGCCCGGCGTTCCCTCCTCCTCCTCCTCCTCCCCCTCCCCCTCCCCTCCTCCTCCTCCTCCTCCTCCTCCTCCTCCTCCTCCTCCTCCTCCTCCTCCTCCTCCTCCTCCTCCTCCTCCTCCTCCTCCTCCTCCTCCTCCTCCTCCTCCTCCTCCTCCTCCTCCTCCTCCTCCTCCTCCTCCTCCCGTCGGCGATGAATGGAAGATTGGGGGCCGATGCTCAGCCCCCTGAGCCTGTCCCTGTCTGCTCGGATCACGGCTGAGGTTGCTCAGGGGATCGGGGGGGCTACGAGTGGATGCCGAGGTGGGTTGTGTCTGGCCTGAGCTAGTGGATCCGCCACCGTGCCTGCACGGAGTGGGCATGTTAGAATGCGTGTCTGTTGTCTTGGAGGTTCTTGAGCGCTGTCTATCTAGCCCCCGCCCATGGCCGCACACGTCCTCAGAAAATCACCCCTTCAACAATTGCTTTTCCATGGTCTTTTCGCCCTCCCGACGGCAAAAATGGCCCCCAAGAGGGCTTCCACGACAGCCAAAAAAGATACCAAAACGGCAGCGCAAGACGGCTCAAGATACTCTGAAGACGGCCTCAAGACGGCCCGAGAGACCCCAGAGACGGCCCAAGAGGGCTCCAAGAGGCTTTCCAGGAGAACGCGAGGAGGGCAACATTCTTTACGTTTTCTGGTGTGTCGAAGGATTTTGAGATTCTCGCCTATTTGGATTCCCGACCGCCCAAGACGGCCCAAGGGACTTCCAAGATAGCTCGATGACAGCCCTTGCGGCCCCCAAGAGGGCCCCGAGTCGGCCGAAGAGGACACCAAGATCGCCCAAGAGGCCCCCAGGAAGGCCCCAAGACGGCACCTAAGCGCACCAAGAGGGCACCAAGACGACCCAGAGAGGCCCCCCAGGCGGCCTCCCAATGCGCCAGACGGGCCGATCGCCTCCAGAAGATAGCCCAAAAGGCCCCAAGAGCCCCCCAAGAGGCCCCAAGAGGGTCGGGACACGCTTTCCCCTCCTCGTCCTCATGTTCTCCCTCTTCTTCTCCTCCTCCTCCAACTTCGACTCCCTACAGCGCGGACGAAGGCGATGTCGGGATCACGCCCGTCCCCAGTTCACGCCCGTGCCTCAGAATATGAACTCGACGCGCTTCCTACCGCGCGGGCGAAGACGCGGTCAAGTTTACAACCCGTCCTTCTCAGACCACTCGTCGGAATTGCGCTGTTCCTACACTGAGCCTCCTTCCTGCAGCGTTGTTGTGCAGGCACGATGGCGGGCTCGCCACAGGCAGCTGGACAACTGGGCTACACCCAAGTGGCTTAAAGGGGTTTGGTAACTCTGCTAAATGGGCTCCGCTCACCTAGCCCAGATCTCCGGAGGCCGTCTCGGGCACCTGCAGTAAACTTGTAAGCTAGGTTGGGCCGGGCATTGCCCACCTTGACATCCAGTTGGGTGCACCCCTATCCCATCGGCAACCCCAGCAGTCACCCAAGCACGAGCCCGCGACTTGGGGACAGCCTGGGGATCTGAATTGGGGGGGACGCAGCCAAATCCGCTCCAAATCGGCCCCCAGACCGAGAAAGGCAGAGCATCTTCTCGAATCCAGAGCCTCGAACCTCGCCCCCCTTCCTGCTGGCCAGAACCAGTGCTGTGCTCATCAGGCCCCGAGACGGCTCCCACCCCCGACTTCCTCCCCGCTCCACTCCAGGCGTCCCCGCGCGGGCAGCTGGTCGCGACCGATCGAAACCGATTCGTCGCGACTGGCCAGTTGCGGCCGACTTTGAAGCAAATCGGTTGCGACGGACATCGGAATTCGGCGTAAAATCGGCAGCGACCGATCCCGTCGATCGCGACAAGACTAGTTCCTGCGGCAACTCATGGGAGCCTCCCATACCATTGGACGTCACTGCGGCAACTCCGATGATCAACGTCACTCGAGTCCCTTCTCAGAGCAGTGCCGAGGCCCTGGCATGAACGCGCACTCTGCGGCGAGAGGTACACCGCGCATGGGAATACGCCACGCCGATACAACCTAGCTGGACTGCAGACTTCTACGCGGGCACGGCGGCGTATCGACCTGAGTACGTGCGGCTATACCGCGCCAAAAGAAACTCGCGCGTGCATAATCCTTACCAGTGAAGATTGCTGGACACGTACAGGTGTTCATACCATCTTGTTGTCTCTTGTTGGCTCTTGCGAACCGATGATCGACGCTAGTCGACGCTAATCGACGCTAAATTGACGCTAATCGACGCTAAATCGACGCGACTCGACGCTAAGTCGGCGCTATCTCATCGATCACGAGACGCGACTCGACCCATGAAATCTAAAGTCAAAGTTATGAGCGTACACAAGGCTGCCATGACCTGCTACCGAAGAAACATCTGGCATCCCACGAGCAGGAGCTCCCGGCGTCCCTGCACGGGCGGCGCCTGGATCACGCTGCCCCCGGCCGCGCCAGCGCTGGTGCGGAAGTGCACCAGGTCTGGCCCCGCGAGGCCACCACGGCGCCCTGGCGCGCGGGGGGGGGGGGCGAGGACACATCGAAGCACCAAGCACAGCACGCACACCCCTCCCTGGGAGCAGCTCTCGGCTCCAGAGCGTCAGCGTCGCCGTCGCCGTCGTCGTCCTCGTCGTCGTCGTCGTCGTCGTCGTCGTCGTCGTCGTCGTCGTCGTCCTCGTCGTCGTCGTCGCCGTCGTCCCCCTTCAGAGTCGGGGGCACGGGCCGTACGGCCTTCGCAATCGGAAAGCGGAGACCTGCATCAGCAGAAACGGTCGGAGCTGCGCGCGGGAATTCCTCGGGTCGGCGCCGGGCCCCCCTCGCGGCGCCTCTGGGCGCCGTCCCGCGCGCCCGGGGCGCGGGGTCCGGCGCCGATCCGAGAACTCCGCGCGGTCCTCCGAAAATCTACGTTCATGGTTCTTGCTCCTCCCTCGAACAAAAAAAAAAACAGGGGGACGCAAATATAATATACATCGACACACAGATTACCCGTAGGTTTCGATCTAACTGTCCTCGTGGATGCGCGCGCTCCCCTCCACTTCCCGTGTCCCCAAAATGGCGGGTTCCCGCAACCCCGAACCAAGGAGCCTTCTGCCATGTTCTGGGGAGGCCGGCCTCTCCTCCGCCAAGGCGACCTTGCTCTCCTGCCTTCGGGGATGGACGGACCCCCCCTTTAGCAAAACGTGGTTTAGTGCAAACGACGTGAGGCCCAAACCTGGCGGGCGCAAGCCTGAAAAATAACGGCCACGGCGCCCTCTCGAAAACCGAAAACGGACAACTCACTAATCGACGTGTCACTGTTGGGGGTTCTGTCCACCCCCGATTCCTCGGCTATACGCAAGAGTGGTCCTGGGTAAGAGTGACCTGTGGTGCGCGACTTGTTGGGGGGCCGCAGGGGGGCCAAGCCTGGGCGCGCAAGCAGCTGCTACCGCTTCGTTTTCAGCCATCTGGGGACCCGTCAGTGCCCGCAGCAGAGGTCACTCCGGCGAAAGGCCACTCTTACGTCTAGTCGACACTTCCGCGCGCTCCCGCCGCCCTCCGGTCGCCCTCCGCCGAGGGAGGAGCCGGCGGCCCCTTCGGCCCTCGAGGGCGGGGCCGCCCCAGGAAGGCCTCGAGCGTGGGCACGCAGATCCGCCTGTCTGCTGCGGTGGTGCGGCCAGTCCCAGGACAGGGGAACGTCCTTCCAAGAGCATGGAGCCCTCCGCCGGCCAAACTGAAGAGCATTCGCGGCTACCCGCCCAACTAAAGATCCCGCCACGGTCACATCGAAGCTCGGAAACTGTGGCATGAGCAGTACAAGGGAATGCAAGCTGGGCGGCAATTCTTGGGTTGCTACCAACGTCTTCGCGGTTCATCCCAAACCTCCAGGGCCTCGGGACCCACTTGTTGTCGCGAACCCGAGTTACCAATATGGCAACATGTCTTGGAGTAAAGGCTGGCAGAGATAGGCCTTGCAGAGCGAGTGGAGCCAGGTGAGCACAACTAAATGAGCAAGCGAGACTGCGGTGTGCCACTGTTTGCCCAAGTGCAGAGGCTGGCCATGCGTAGTGGCTGGCCTTTGAAGATGGTGAACTGCTTGAGATAGCCGCGCCAAATCCCCCACCCTGTCTCGTAATCTATTCCAAACAACCTTCCCAGTAGACAGCGCAGCAAGTTGGTGAAAGATAAGCACAGAGACTGGTAATCTATGTTGCGCGGCCGCGCCCTATAGTAGGGGGGCCTGAAAAAACTGCGCGCTTTGAATGTGAGGAGCAAGATGTGCGACCGCGGCCTGCTGCGAGCAACCACCCGTCCCAGTCCACCCACCTAAACAAAATCAATCACCCGCCCAATAGACAGTGCAGCAAGACTGACGGAAGATGGACGTAAGGCGAGAGGTCCGAGCGTATCGAGAAGCATGGCTGGGAGTGTGGGTTGCGATGGCCACGCATCAGACTGATGAGCAAGGCCACCTTCGTAAGCATCAGAAGAAGACGAATGATCATATATATATATATATACAAACAAGGATAACCAAGAAAGAATGGTAATCCGAAGTCCTCGCTGTGCGGAAATTGGTGTTCTGGAAGCCGTGGTCGTGGAAAGATGTGAGGTCGTACCCTCTACCAAAACACTTTGTGTAATAGTAGTTGATGCCCGCCGCACTACTGCCCTAGTCGTTGTGGTAGGTGTAGTTATATGCCGCCGTACCACACACAAGTTGTTTGTAGCGCTGTTCATGTCAAAATTGCTCCGTGTGGTAGTCCTGTACCACCCCCAGTACTCACTGCCGCCAGCCTGTGCGGTGGGGAACCTTGGTTTCGGTGCTGGTGGGGCTTTGTACTCAGGTACTGGGAATTTGGGCTTGGGCATGTTTGGTGCTTCCATTGCAGAAGTTTCCCCTGTCGCTATCGTAGCCCTGCATTGCATAGGTTGCACTGTCGCGCTTCTACCAGATGTTGTCCGTACTGCTGCTACTGGCGTAGTGCCTCCATGTACTGCAAGAGCCTCTGACCGATGCCGTCTTCGACGTACTGTTTTTCGAGGTGCTCTGTATATGCTGGCATTGGAGTAGATCCGGGTTGTCCATCTAGGATGTGGGTCGGTGGCGCTGCTGGTCGGAAGTCCATCTGCCTGGTGGCAAATGTTTGTGGTGCTAGCTCTCTTGCTGTTGATTCGGTGAGCCAGCGTTGTGCCCGTGCTGCCTTAGGTGGGCAGGAGGCTGGGATCCTGAGACTTGGTGAAGGAGGGTGCATTGGACTTATGGTCACTCGAGTAGTGCGGGTCTGCTCCTTGGCGGGTGCGTTTGCACCTGTCGGTCGCTGGTCAGGCGTGGTAGTGGCTTCTTGCTGCGCATCTGCGGCTGATTGTTGTTCTGGCTGTGGTGTGTCTTCAGCGGAGCTGTCGTTGCTGTAAGAATACGATGGCGTTGCGGGAGTATTGTGGACGTTGTCTGGAAAGCCGCTTGGTTTGCAAATGTGCTGCAACAGGCATGCAGTGTCGCGTATGCGAACTGCCCAATCGTACTCCATTGTGTCGTCGTCGTCGTAGCAAGAGCGAAGCTAGCATGAGACCGTGAGTATGGCTTCCTTGGCAATGTCCTTCATTCTTGTCGTGGCGGCTGAGGAGGAAGATGCCTGTTGGTGATGCTGACTGCTACTCTGAAGTCTTCGCTGAGTATGTAACACCCTGCGAAGTTATGACTGTTGTGCCCTCGCTGTAGACGTGGTTGGCCATGTAGTCGTGGCCACAATCGCGGGAGGTGTGAGTCTGCCGAGACTGCGTCGCCCAGCGTTCAGTACTTGGTCGTCTCGGTCGGTGGAAGATTGAATGTTGAAAGTCGCGTCGCAGGTGGGTCGGCCCTGAGCGGTGGATAAGGTAGGGCTTGGCGATGCCTGTTGCGGATGAAGTACTCGATGTTGTCTGCTAAGTATTTGTGCCAGCCTGGTAACAGTAGGCTCCTCGCCGTCCTTCTCCTCCTCCTCCTCGTCCTCCACCGCCTTCTACACCTCCTCCTCCTCCTGCTCCTCCTCCTCCTCCCTCCTCCTCCTCTGCCTCCTCCTCCTCCTATCTGCTTATTCTCCGCCTCCTCCTCCTCCTCCTCCTCCTCCTCCTCTTCCTCCTCCTCCTCCTCCTTCTGCTCCTCGTCCTCCTCCCCCTCCTCCTCCTCCTCCTCCTCCTCCTCCTCCTCCTCTTCCTCCTCCTCCTCCCCCTCTTCCTCCTACTGCTCCTCCCCCACCTGCGTGCGGCCCTGTCGCGCCCGCCGCTGCCGCAAATCTGGCACAGGCAGGTGGAGGAAACCCAGCAGCACGAATTGCGCAGGGCAGATCGGCCGAGAGGGATTGAGGAGGACGATGCCACCGGTGCTTCCCATGTCAGGCAGAGCATCGGTGTCTCTCCTCGGGTGGGGGTCATCTTTGCGGGGGAGCCCCACCTCCTCCTCCTCCTCCTCCTCCTCCTCCTCCTCCTCCTCCTCCTCCTCCTCCTCCTCTCTCTTCCTCCTCCTCCTCCTCCTCCTCCTCCTCCTCCTCCTCCTCCTCCTCGATATTCTTCTCCTCCACCCTCGCATCCACGGCTCGGCGCGTCCGCGGCTCGCCTTTGCCCCTCTGCCGCCTCACCCTCCTGGCCGCGAACCGGAAGTTCACGACCATCTCGCCCCCAGAGCAGGACGCCTGGCCTGAGCAGGGAGAGAGGACTCCGGGGTCGAACTGCGATGATCGAGGACCGATTCTCGAGAGGGCCGAGGAGTCTTCGAGATCGAACTCCTGGGCCTCCTGGGGCGCCCTCGTGGCCACGGCTGGAGACGCCACGAAGTTCTGGTCGCATCGCGCCTCGCGGCAAGTCTCGGGGACGACTTTTGAGACGGGGGGGGCTCATGCCTGGGCGTTGCACATCGCAAAATCGGCAGGACGTTCTACGTATTCGGCCACGGATGCCATCTTCCACCCCCGGAACCCTCAAAAAAGACTCCGGACGAAACATCTGCCTGGGAAGAGAGGTCGAGATCCCAGGCATGTAGGGGATGGAGAGCAACGTATCAAAAATTACGTTGTGATTGCTTCCGACATGTTCGGCTTTGGGCAGGGGGCGTTGCTTCGGGTACTATCCGAGACCAGCTGTTCTGCAGGAGGAGGTGGAGAGGGCGGGGGACCGCGCTTTGGACAAATCACAACCATTCAGCTAGATTGGACGGCATGGTTTTTCGACAGCGGATGTACGAGCGCCGATGCTGCACTCAACCTGCCAGGAGTTTCGCCCCAAGCAAAGCAAAACGCGGAAACGCTTCAATACTGTGACACGCGCGCGCTGGCGAGGATGTGGGACCGCTCCCCACATGAGCAAGGGCCGTGAGCGTTCGGGGACGAACAGTGCGTGATGAAGGCACAATCAAAATTGGTGCTCTCGAAGTAGCTGTAGACGGCACGATCTATGCGTCCTAGATGGGGTCCGAGTGGATGGGGTCGGAGGATCACGCCGCATCGCCGATGCATCGGCGGTACATCGCCGACGCATCGGCGATGCATTTGCGATGCACCGGCGATGCGAACGTCAAGAAATCGGGACCCGCATCGAGCCGCATCGCCAATGCATCGGCGATGCGGCGCGACCCCCGACCCCATCTACTCGAACCCCATGTGGTAGGCCTAGATATCAAGATTAATGCTCGGCCCGGGTGCGGAGCGAGCGCACAGATGTAAGCAGACGTGCAGGCATGCGTCCTGTATTCGCGACACTCCGCTCCACCGTCTGCCGCCACGGCCGCGCTGTGCGGACGCCTGCGCCGCGGCAAAAAAACGAGCACGCGGTTCGTCCCACTAGAGGTCCCTTTCCTAGATTCAAGCAAAAAAAAAGTGCATGGCACTTTGGCCCCCGACCCCACCCCACCACATCCTTATTTTTAATGATTAAACACCCCCAAACCCCGACCCAGCCGGCCGATAGCAACCCCGCCGTCCTAACAAACACAACCATACAAACTCAACTTATTTCTCGATAACATGTCGTCGAGTTGCGAAAACTGTAGCCGGAATGAGACGGAATGAACCTCGTTTGGGTATCCCTAAGCGGGTGGTCGCGTCCGACCTTATTATATATATATATGATTTTTTTGTTTTTTAACAAAAAACAATGTTCTCGACAACATAGACGTTCTTGTCGTCGGCGCTGCGAAGCGTGTAGCACGAATGGGACGGAATGAACATCGCTTGGGCATCCTTAAGCGGGTGGCCGCGTCCTACCTGTCAAAAGACAATACACAGTCAACTTCGTGCTCGACAACATGGATGTTTTTGTCGTCGGCGCTGCGAAACGTGTAGCAGGAATGGGACGGAATGAACATCACTTGGGTAACCCTAAGCGGGTGGTCGCGTCCTACCCATCAAAAAACCATGCACTGTCAACGTTTTTCTCGACAACATGGATTTTCTAGTCGTCGGCGCTACGAAAAGTGGAGCAAGAATTGGACGCGGCGCACATCGCGCGCGGACGCCTGGCCAACCCTACGCGGGACCCCCGTCGCAACTGCCAAAAAACACCGCAACGTCGACGCCGCCACGGCCGCGCTGTGCGGACGCCTGCGCCGCGGCAGAACAAAAAACGGGCACGCGGTGCGCCCCATTAGAGGTCGCTTTCCTTAGATTCAAGCAAGTTCATATGCATTGCATTTTGCCCCCCCCCTCCCCCACCCCACCCCACCCCATCCATATTTCTTATGATTAAACACCCCGATAGCAACCCCGCCGTGCTAACAGACAAAGCACACAAACTCAATTTGTTTCTCGCCAACATGTCTTCGAGCTGCGAAAATTGCAACAGGAATCAAACGGAATGAACATCGATTGGGCGTCGCTTGAGTAACCCAATGCAGGTGGTCGCACCCGACCTACCCAAAAAAAACAATACAAAGTCAACGATTTCCTCGACAACATAGATTTTTTGTCGTCGGCGCTGCGAAACGTGTAGCAGGAATGGGACGGAATGAACATCGCTTGGGCAACCCTAAGTGGGTGGTCGCGTCCTACCTGTCCAAAAAAACAATACAAAGCCAACGTTAATTCTCGACAACATGGACAGTCTTGTCGTCGACGCTGCGAAAAGTGAAGCAGGAATGGGACGCGGCGCACATCGCGCGCGGACGTCTGGCCAACCCTACGCGGGACCCCCCGTCCTACCTGTCAAAAAACACCGCAACGTCGACGTTTTTCTTGCCAACATGTACTCTCTCCTCGTCGGCGCTGCGAATCGCGTAGCGGGAATGGGACGCAGCACACATCGCGAGGGGACGCCTGCTCTTCACCATTGACTTTCTTGTCGTCGACGCTGCGGCCCGTCGGGTTGAGGAGCTGGGCGGGCGGCAAGTCAGAATGCTTCATGCAAGTGCGGTTCGCCGCCGGCGCACCCGTTGTCGTGTCCACGTAAGAGAGACCCCTCTCCCTCCCCTCCTCCTCCTCTTCGTCCTCCCCCTCCTCCATGCGCGGCAGGGGCGAAACGATTGGCGGTGCAGCGCGCGTGGCTGGAATGAGACGCGATGCACTGCGCGCGCTGGACATGTTGTCGCCGACGATGCAACATGAGAGGCCAGAGCGGGGCGCGGCGTACATCGCGCGCGTCCTTGTTTCTCGTCGACGCTGCTCAATACGCGGCGGGAATAGGACGCAAGTCATGTCGCGCGCTGAACGTGTAGCCGCCCGCGATATAAGATGAGCGACAGGCGTCGGACGCGACGCACTTGCTTCTTATGCTGTGGGAGGGCAGGTGGGAGTGGACGGAGCCCTCTGGCTCGTTCGAGCCGGCTAACTTGACCCCCCCCCCCACCCCCCCCCCACCCCCCACCCCACACCCCACCCGCCCCCCCCTCCCCTCCGCGCCGCCTTTTCTAACAGCGCTGGGCCGAAAAGGCGTGCAAGTCAATCCCAGCTTGCGTGAAGTCCAGATGTTGTTGCGGGCCTGGCCAGGCCTCCATACCTCCCCCTCCGTGCAAGTAAACCTGCCAGCCTCTGAAAATTAAGCTGCCTCCTGCGAGGAAGCACATCACGAAAACTTTGTGTTCGTCCCCATGGCGCCCAATAGCGCGCCGAATCACGCGCAGAGCGGTCACAATGCGTCTCCCTCGCATGGCGTTGTTGGGCGCTGTTGATCGCTGTTTGGCTGTTTGGCAGCATGTGAACGCTATTTGGCGCTACTGGGCGCTACTGGGCGCTATTGCGCGCTCTTGGGCGCCATTCGCCGACATTCGTTCAATTCGGCGTTGGACAAACCTCCCTTCAGTAAACCACCCTTAAATGAAAACGGCCTAAGTCCGAAATCAACGGACCTGGACCCGCAAACATGACGGCCGCGACTCCCTCTCGCGAACCGAAAACGGCGAATTCGCTCATCGACGTGTCAGGGTAGGAGATCTATCAACCTCCGATCAATCCAGAACGAGCAGAAACTTTCGTGAGTTACTATCTAACCACTGCTACCTCCCCCCCCCCGCGAGCCCCCCTGGGCGTGCTGCGCCACGCGGAAGCGTCCGGTTGACTAAGGGGAAGAGGCGTTGGGGAGGCAGGGCTCCCGAGGAAGCAGGGAGCTCTTTGCTGCTCGACGACAGCTTGGCGCATGGTGTGCTCGGTACCGCTCTGTCTGTCGGGAACTGTGGCTATCGCGGCCTGAGACCAGACCAGTGCAACAACAGAACAAGACAGGGAAACGATGAACAAGGAAGGTCTGCCCCCTCGCTCCAGAACCTCGCAGGGCGGGGGAGCAGGGAGCAGGTAGGAAGGACGAGGTGACGGAGGAAGAACAAATTTCAGTTTCCCTCCATTGGTCCTCCCCTCGTCCTGGCCCCTGTCGCCCTCCGTCCTTTCCCCGCAAAGGGCTTCCTAGGCCCTCCCACTCTGCTTCGCTGTGTGAATGGAATTGAGACTTCGCGTGCGACGTGCAACGGAGGCGGGGGAGGAGGGGGAGGAGGGGGGGGAGGAGTAGGAGTAGGAGGAGGAGGAGGAGGAGGAGGAGGAGGAGGAGGAGGAATAGGACAAGCTGACTGCCTGACGCGCCTCTCGCCCTGCGGGATCCACGGTCGCAACACCGCAAAACACCTCTTGGAGCGCTGGACGTCCAAAGGGGGCGCCGCACCTTTAGTAACGCCAGCGGCGCAGTCAGTGAAGCAACCCTCGGGGGGGCTGTCCTGAGCGCAGCCCAGGGCCTCACCCACATCTCGTCTTCCCTACTCCCTCCTCCCCATCATGCCTCCCCCTCCTCTCCCTTTTCCTCCTCCTCCTGCTCCCCTGAGATCCGAAGTCACGCAACACATGCAACACAGTCGGACTTGATTGGAGAGGACACGCGAGAGGACACAAGACCCTTCCGAGGGCCACCTTGCACTAGGAATGCAGAAGGCATTGGTCGCGAAAAACAGGACGCAAGGGTACCCTCGATTTGGCAGAGTCGACCTACTAATCAGAGCCGACTGCCCGTTTCAAAAGACAACCAAATCCCTGGACCCGAGTTCCTGCTGCATTTTTCACAATCCGGATCGATCCGCGAGGGTCCAGGGGGCCCAAACACGACGAAATCGTCTGGCGAGAAAAATTGCGACGCCAAGACTTCAGGTCGGCGGCGAACGAGGGCGGGAGAAGGCCTTTTCAGAGGGCGGCGGGGCTTCTCAGAAGCCCTCTGGCGTTCGGAAAATGCTCGGCGTCGTCGAGGAAGGCTCAGAAAACTTGGCAGAAGGCCCGGGGCCTTCCGAATCTTCTGACAAGGCCCGCCCCCCTTCCCCGCCCCCTCGGGCTCACCGCCGATCAAGGACCCTCCCCCTCCACCTCCTCCTCCTC